CTACCAAAACAGTATTGCCTCCCTTATCCAGCCACCAAAACAGAATTGCCTCCCTAATCCAGCTATTAAAACAGTATTGCCTCCTTAATCCAGCCACTAAAACCAGTCATTGAAGGAGACCAAAACAGTATTGCCTCCCTAATCCAGCTATTAAAACAGTATTGCCTCCTTAATCCAGCCACTAAAACATTATTGCCTCCTTAATCCAGCCACCAATACAGTATTGCCTCTTTAATCCAGCCACCAATACAGTATTGCCTCCCTAATCCAGCTACCAAAACAGCGGAGCCTCCCTTATCATCCACAAATACAGTGTTGCCTCCTTAATCCAGCCACCAATACAGTGTTGCCTCCTTAATCCAGCCACCAATACAGAATTGCCTCCTTAATCCAGCCACCAATACAGTAATGCCTCCTTAATCCAGCTACCAATACAGTATTGCCTCTTTAATCCAGCCACCAATACAGTGTTGCCTCCTTAATCAAGCCACCAATACAGTGTTGCCTCCTTAATCCAGCCACCAATACTGTGTTGCCTCCTTAATCCAGCCACCAATACTGTGTTGCCTCCTTAATCCAGCCACCAATACTGTGTTGCCTCCTTAATCCAGCCACCAATACTGTGTTGCCTCCTTAATCCAGCCACCAATACTGTGTTGCCTCCTTAATCCAGCCACCAATACTGTGTTGCCTCCTTAATCCAGCCACCAATACAGTATTGCCTCCCTAATCCAGCTACCAAAACAGCGGAGCCTCCTTTATCATCCACCAATACAGTGTTGCCTCCTTAATCCAGCTACCAATACAGTAATGCCTCCTTAATCCAGCCACCAATACAGTATTGCCTCCTTAATCCAGCCCCCAAAACAGTATTGCCTCCTCGTAAATCCAGCCACCAAAACAGTATTGCCTCCCATATCCAGCCATCAAAACAGTATTGCATCCTTAATCTAGCTACCAAAACAGCGGAGCCTCCTTTACCATCCACCAATACAGTAATGCTTCCTTAATCCAGCCACCAATACAGTAATGCCTCCTTAATCCAGCCATCAAAACAGTATTGCCTCCTTAATCTAGCTACCAAAACAGCGGAGCCGCCCTTATCCAGCCACCAATACAGAATTGCCTCCATAATCCAGCTACCAATACAGTATTGCCTCCCTAATCCAGCCACCAATACAGTAATGCTTCCTTAATCCAGCTACCAATACAGTATTGTCTCCTTAATCTAGCTACCAAAACAGTATTGCCTCCTTAATCTAGCTACCAAAACAGCGGAGCCTCCCTTATCCAGCCATCAATACAGTAATGCTTGCTTAATCCAGCTACCAAAACAGAATTGCCTCCTTAATCCAGCTACTAAAACAGTATTGCCTCCTTAACCCAGCCACCAAAACAGTATTGCCTCCCTAACCCAGCTACCAAAACAGTATGGCCTCCTTAATCCAGCCTCCAAAACAGTATTGCCTCCTTGATCCAGCCATCATACCAAAACAGCGGAGCCTCCCTTATCAAGCCACCAATACAGTATTGCCTCCATAATCCAGCCACCAATACAGTATTGCCTCCTTAATCCAGCTACCAAAACAGTATTGCCTCCTTGATCCAGCCATCAAAACAGTAATGCTTCCTTAATCCAGCTACCAAAACAGTATTGCCTCCTCAATCCAGCCATCAAAACAGTATTGCCTCCCTTATCCAGCAACCAAAACAGTATTGCCTCCCTAATCCAGCTATCAAAACAGTATTGCCTCCTTAATCCAGCCACCAATACAGTAATGCCTCCTTAATCCAGCAACCAAAACAGGATTGCTTCCTTAATCAAGCTACCAAAACAGTATTGCCTCCTAAATCCAGCCACCAATACAGTATTGCCTCCTAAATCCAGCTACCAATACAGTATTGCCTCCTTAACCCAGCTACCAAAACAGTGTTGCCTCCCTAATCCAGCCACCAATACAGTAATGCCTCCTTAATCCAGCAACCAAAACAGGATTGCTTCCTTAATCAAGCTACCAAAACAGTATTGCCTCCTAAATCCAGCCACCAATACAGTATTGCCTCCCTAATCCAGCCACCAATACAGTATTACCTCCTTAATCCAGCCACCAATACAGTATTGCCTCCCTTATCATCCACCAATACAGTGTTGCCTCCTAAATCCAGCCACCAATACAGTATTGCCTCCTTAATCCAGCCACCAATACAGTATTGCCTCCCTTATCATCCACCAAAACAGTATTGCCTCCTAAATCCAGCTACCAATACAGTATTGCCTCCTTAATCCAGCTACCAAAACAGTGTTGCCTCCTTAATCCAGCCACCAATACAGTATTACCTCCCTTATCCAGCTACCAAAACAGTATTGCCTCCTAAATCCAGCTACCAAAACAGTATTGCCTCCTAAATCCAGGTACCAAAACAGTATTGCCTCCTTAATCCAGCCACCAAAACAGTGTTGCCTCCTTAATCCAGCCACCAATACAGTATTACCCCCCTTATCCAGCTACCAAAACAGTATTGCCTCCTAAATCCAGCTACCAATACAGTATTGCCTCCCTAATCCAGCTACCAAAACAGCGGAGCCTCCCTTATCATCCACCAATACAGTGTTGCCTCCCTAATCCAGCCACCAATACAGTATTGCCTCCTTAATCCAGCTATCAATACACTGTAACTATCCTAATCGAAGCTAGTAATAGTTCAGCCTCCCTAATATTACCACCTGAGTACAACCATATATTCAGGTTGAGTGCATTACTGCCACATATTTTTTTTATTAAATAAGAAAACCTCAAAAGTTAGTGGAGCAACCAGATTAGTGGTGGCTGGATAGTGGAACAACTAGATTAGTGGTGGCTGGATAGTGGAACAACCAATTCAGTGGTGGCTGGATATTGGAGCAACCAGATTAGTGGTGGCTGGATAGTGGAGAAACCAGATAAGTGGTGGATGGAAAGTGGAGCAACCGGATTAGTGGTGTCTGGATGGTGGGATAACCAGATTGGTGGTGGCTGGATGGTGGGAAAACCAGATTGGTGGTGGCTGGATGGTGGGACAACCAGATTAGTTGTGGCTGGATAGTGGAACAACTAGATTAGTGGTGGCTGGATAGTGGAACAACCAGATCAGTGGTGGCTGGATATTGGAGCAACCAGATTAGTGGTGGCTGGATAGTGGAGAAACCAGATAAGTGGTGGCTGGATAGTGGGACAACCAGATTAGTGGTGACTAGATAGTGGAACAACCAGATAAGTGGTGGATGGAAAGTGGAGCAACGGATTAGTGGTGTCTGGATGGTGGGACAACCAGATTGGTGGTGGCTGGATTGTGGGACAACCAGATTGGTGGTGGCTGGATAGTAGGACAACCAGATTAGTGGTGGCTGGATAGTGGGACAACCGGATTAGTGGTGTCTGGATGGTGGGACAACCAGATTAGTGGTGGCTGGATGGTGGGACAACCAGATTAGTGATGACTGGATGGTGGGACAACCAGATTGGTGGTGGCTAGATAGTGAAGCAACTAGATTAGTGGTGGCTAGATAGTGGACCAACTAGATAAGTGGTGACTGGATAGTGGGATAACCAGATTAGTGATGGCTTGATCCATGAGACACGTCAGTATTTTTGTTTTTAATCTTAAAATAAATAAAGAATTTGTCCATAATATGATAAAGATTCTTATAGCATTATAGATACAAAAAAAATGGAACACTTCAGATCAACAGGAGAGAAACCATGGAGAAATGTAAAATGTATTATAAGCACCTGTTTCCTTGATTTTGCACGTAATGTTTCTGAGGAATAACAATGTAATGCTTTGTTTTTGCAGAAGCGAACTGGTAGGTTTATAACGATCCTAATTGATATTACATCTGAGGAAAGGAAACATCACATTTTCATTAACATTGGTGTTGGCGTTATGTTATGAAACCACTTTGTTCATTACCTCAAACGACGTTTGGTTGCTACAAAATTATTATTTGCAGTCGAATATCTATATTTCTAATCATCTTCCCATATTTCAAATCACACAGAAAATAATTTATATTTTATGATAACAACTGCATCAAATTTTCGTTACAGAACACATTTGTGTAATATCTAATGATATTTCAATAGCCGCGAAACGTTTAATGTAAACAATGAGTTATTTCAAACGTATCAAAGCTATTCATTAAATAGATTCATCCCCGTACTGTCTAAATAACTGGGCAGTCCATTATCTGCTACACAGTCATTTATCTAGATAGGGATAGACGTTGTTAATAAACTTGTTACCGACCCTAACCATTACGGTCGTACGGCAGGGGAGACATCCCATGTAGACCACACACGGTGTGCTCTGTCAGTGAACATACCGGGCGGCACAGACTAGACAATCCTGAATCATCCCTTTCCCTTCAACTCAGATAAAAATGGATCACACACATACACTTTAATTTAGTTTCAACTTGATAATTCACCTTTTAACATTTCTCTTCTGTTGAGCGAATATTTTAATCTGACGGTATTGGTGTATTTAAAAACCACGACTGATACAACAAAACGATTAACTGTTTAAATTTCATCGACAAGATCTTAATAACGTAATTAAATCTGGATATTTTATAATATTTATATATTTGTGTATACTATTCCTAACTAATTTCATGTTTGATATGTCATAAAACTTTGTAGAATAGACAATCATTCTGAATCTGCATAACTTAAAAAAAGCATGTTTCAAACGAATACGTCACAATCTTAGTCAGTAATATGAAATTCTCCAAACTTTTTAAATAACAACATTGATAGAAATAGAAATATCCACGTATAAAACTCCGTGTAATAGGGACGCTACCATGAAATATCAAACCAGCTTTTAATTTTATACAAATGAGCCCGTAAAAATATCAATATTAATGACATAAAATCACAATGACATGTTTAAGTATTTAACAACATAAAAAAAAAACAAATAAATAAATATTTTAATTAACAAAATGCTTGACTTACCGAGTGCAGGGCAGATATCTTCATTTTCAAATATGGCTGTAAATCATCCATGCTAATGCCGGATATTCAACATGTCGTCTGCTCACACTTCTAAAAACAACTTCAGCATTTGAAATAAAGTTTTTTTCTCAACGAGAAATCCAGATATGGCGTCTACTGATCGACTTAAGGCACAATACATTATATAAATATTTAGACAAGGATGGTACGACTAACGTAGTCAGCGCCACCAATGTGAGGGTTGGAAACTCCTTCTGGGTGGCCCGACGCCACCACGTAGCAATTTGTCAGAACCGATAGTAAATGTTGACGATAATCAGTCAGAAAAAACTCTGATAGCTGGCTCTTAACGTCAACGTTTAAAATCTGATTGTTGCAGGTGGTAGATACGTCTGAATTAAAAGCCTCACAATTTGGCCCCAACCTGTGTTCTTGGATTTAATTTTAAGTTCAAATCTTTTAGATTTCAAGCAGACTATCATTTAACCCAGTGTTCCGTGTAATGAATGTCATCGATAGTCCAAGGTTTACTCACCAGGTAAATCCGCGGATTTTAAACAGGAAAGAGTATATTGAGTGAGGATCATACGCTCTAGGACATTTATAAGGTTGATATTGTCGTACAGATCTGTTTTAAATCATGTTAACATACTTGCTGAAAATAAAAAAAATAAAAAATACAGTTACAGTTCACATGTCACGATGTCATTTTTATTGTTCTGACAATAAAACCAAGAAAAGAAACAAACACAAGTTAAAAAAAAGTCAAGTTTTATAGATAATTAATTTGTCTCGGCATTAAAGGGGAAATTAGTGTATATTATAATATAAAAGTTACTTTGAGGCTAAAATATATAATGCTTGGCCTGGTTCATTGTCATTTCATCATAAATGTAATCAATAGTAATAAAACGAAATTAAAACTCTTGTCACGTTTGCCATATATCGTTCCAAGTCCGGGACAAATATTTAAATACTGATACCAAGAAAGTTATTTGGGAAGATCGCGGTGTTCTTCTATTAGTTTTGGTGTAGTCTGTTTGGTCCCTACACCAACAATTACTTACAGTGGTTTTTCGTGTAATTATTCAATAAAATATAATGTTACATGCCTGAAGCTTGTAATTGTTAGGTGGCTATAGTGACCCCGGATATCTTTTGCTGACGCCTGCCACTTTCTACATTTAAACAACAACATTTTTCAAGCTATTTTTAGTTTTTTAACACGTGCCCGTTTTTGTCACAAGCTTTATTTTCTAAGCTTTTGTTAACTTGTGGTTAAAAGCATGAAAGCCAAAGAAAAGAAAATGTGTTGTCTTTCTTTAACTTTGAGCTCATATTTTTTTCTACAACTAAAGTGTGGATAAAAGTATTCTTAACAAATTCAATTGAAGTTTATATTACATCCACAGAATATAGGAAACAAAAACGGTTTACAGATGAGAATAGGGTAAGCGGAACAGCTAAACGGTCATTGGTTTAGAAAAAAATAGTAGTATGGCGCTGGAACTTACATTTTCAACATTGATTAATATGATATGCTTATACCATTTCTTATGCCTCTTTGCCAAATATTGGTTTGTATTTTGACTTAAATATTTGAGCTATCTTTATGAATGAAATTTTGCTTCACAGAATCACTTAACTTTTCATCTTTCAATTTACATCACATGTCATTTTTTAATTGGTTTGAATATTTGACCTTATTACAAACATATATACTACGGCTTGTTTTCAAAATATTTCAACATACTGAATAATTAAAAACAATGTAATATATATATAGTTTATATGAGAAACAAATCGATGCAATGTAAACGGTAGAAATTGATATTTGAAATTCCATTGATATATTGGATATTTAATTATTTCTATATGCATGTTTGATGAAGGAATATCTCGATAAAAAGAAAAAAAAATCCTTTTATGAAAGAAGTGAAAAGGCGGAAATATGTTCTTCTTAATCATGAATGTTATGCAAAAAAAACAAAAACACATCGAACTGCATTCCTCTATTATTATTATTATTATTTTTGAACAAATTGTATAAAAACAGAAGCAAAAATAATATAATGTATAACGTAAAATAAACAAACAATAGACCATATTAATTAGATGTTTACTTGTAGTAATCAACAGAAAAAATCAAACACAACGTATTCAAGGAATTCTAACCGTGTAGTTGCCATAGGGATAATTCTCAAACCAACATAACAGAAAATACTTTTTTTTTTTTTACCTCAAATCGATGTTCTTTCCATGAAGACAAAAACCGATTGATATTTTTAAAAAGTATAGCAGCTTTAAAATACCATCTGGTGTTATCGGAAACCTTGCTGAATACGACAATAATCAATCGTAAAATGACATTAAAATTCAGAAGAAAAAGAACAAAGCAATATACGGAAGCCAGATTCTCTTAATGTTTCGTACTGTTTATCACAAAACTCAGCCAAGTGGTGCCAACGTATTAACACAGCTGGTGGTAAAATGGTACAGAGAGTACACGGGACCTTTTAATTTTAAAGTATTACGTATTCCATGATTGATAGTCAGATTTAATAATTTCAAAGAAGGTACAAATACATATTCATATTTATCTTTATGGGAACATTTACCTGTGCTTTCATGTGCATCTAGTGCAATGTTAATTAAATTTAGTCCAATTTTCGTCAAATATGAAACACAGGTAACAAAAGCACCAAAACCGTATGTCCAGAAAACAAAATGAAAAACGTCAGGAAAAGTATTAAACTCAAATAAAGAGCATTCGTTTAAAGTAAAACTGTGTTTTAATACGTTTACGTGAGTACTTAATGACACAAACTATAATAATATGGCATTAATGTCTCGTGTTAATAGATTTAGATAGAAACCATATGTTTCTCTGTCAGTGATGACATACAAAGCGCTTCTCTTTCAAAAGAAACCTATAACATTTATTTCGTAATTTGCATAGTATTTTTTCGAACTATTAACAAAGATAACTGATATATGAGAAAAATTGGGGGAAATGCGTCAGCGTCAACACCAAAAGAATAAAATTAAAACTTAATATTGATACGAAGTTTCAACAACATCGCGATGACACACGTATCCTTCAAATTGCTGCAAAGCATTTTCCTACATTTAAAACTATATGACAATTATTTTTGATAACTATCTCTAATAAATATCATCCAATAAAACAGGAGCAGAAACATAGCATTACTTCTTATGGACTGTGAGACAGAAAATATCCGGAAAACGAGTAAATGAGTTAAAAATATTTTAATGAATTTGGAGATTTACCTAAGATTGCGCAATCATAGGCATGATCTACGTCACATTATAATTGTATAATGTTGGTACACACCCTTGATATAATTGATTGGTACACACATAATGTAGGATAAACACACATAGACTCAATTGTTTGACGTTCAACAAACAATCTTTTAACAGAAATTGCTGATCTACATGTAGACAGCTGACAAATCTGTTTCATTACGATATTATCACGTGGTGGTAAAGATAGTTCTGAAAATCAAGAAAATATTTAAAGGACAGAAATAATGTTTTATTGCTCTTTGAGAAACAGTTGCGTTACATTAAAAATATTTGTACCGTTTTTATATTTGATACATATTTGGAATAAAGAATACTTAGTACTTAACTTTGTTCAGTACATTGATGAACAATGTTACTATGGTATTGGTTTTAATTGATACCGAAAAAAGGAAAAAATCTGCATCTCACTAAATAGTTTGTCCGGATGAAGGAGAGTATAATGAGTATACAGAGAATGACATTATTCATAAACTAAAGAAATTTTACAGCAAATCGAGAAGTGATTAGTGTAGGTAGGTATGGTTCCTATCAATAACATGGAATTATTGATTAGGTTTCGGACACTAAAAGATCATTCTTTATTTTAAGAAATATACAGTAACTTCTTTGTATATAAAGACGATTTTATCAATTGAATACTACCGAAATTGCAAGAAAGAAAGACAAAGAATAATCAATTGATTCAATCAATCCTTCTTTACGCCGACTACTGCAGTCTGTAAAAACGTAACATTTGTGCGTCTAATTTCAACAAACTTCAACACAAATTTACAACAAATTTATAAACCTCTGATATCGTCTCATTGCTAAAGAGTTATTGAGACGGATCAGGTTAATGTTTTTGTGGAGTTATTTTGCTTTGAAGGCCCTCGATTTTTAGTGGCAGCAATGTGAATTTCCCCAAACCACCGGTTAACGCTAACAGCCTAAACAATATTACATTGTTTAAAACTTAAGTGTACTGACTTATATGTCAAGATAATGAATATGTCTCGGGTCTTCAATATCTTCCGTTTACTAGAGTGAATAAACGCTTGCTAAATTGGAACAAACGTAAAAAATACATACGAACCTATCTGTACTTTATCTTAGTTAGGCTGTACCTATTTGACAACAACAAGTCGGGAAGTCTGGTACAAACCACACACACACCTAGCAAAACTGACAACAATGACATACAATGTAAATTATAAGTATTAAAGTCCGAGATGAGAATTTGAAATGCATTCGAAAGAAAAGTTGAAATATCTAATAGGTTATTAATCTTCTTATGTCATTTTTGTTGACCGTAATGTGACATTAACTGGTTAAACGATGTAACTGGGCGACATCCCTTTTATCACGAGCACCACGTGTCAGCTACTTACTGAAGCTGGTGGAGTGGATGAGGACACAGATGCTTCAAACATTTACTAAACGTTATTTTTGTATCTATTCCCCCCTCTACAGCTAGCTGTCCTTTGCGTTACTACAAGAGTATTTTATGAACCGTTTAAAAATATAACTTTGATGTCAAATATATTGTGGAGATACAAAAGGCATTTTTTACCTTAACTTACCTGTGAAGTTTCAGGGAAATATAGAATCCACTTAGCCAAGTCGATGAGGACCGTATTTGGGAAAGATATGGAAATTCAGGATACAACCATCAACTTAAGTCTTACTCACCAAGTAAACTTCATGTTTTGATTGGCTTGTTGACATTTTCAGGTTAAGCTGAAAATAAAACATGTACTTAGGTAAAAGAAAACGGCACTTGAGAAGGATTCCTTCAGGACTT